AGACAAAATGATAGTTTTACATCTATTCAACGTAATCATCAAATCTTCGAATTGTTTGCATTAAATTACATTCAATTGGGTTCTTTAATTTTGAAAAATGTATCGGTATTTATACATCATCTGAAAAAGCTTCGTTTTCTAAGCATAGCGATATTTTTTTCGAACCCACACACTTCATCTTGATTTTTAAATCAAGATTGAAAACAAAATAATAACTTCACTGTTGACACTAAACTAACAAACTGACAGCTCGCTCCCATATAAAGTGACACCGAGGGGCGCTAATTTGCGCTAACGTGATTTTTGCAAATGTAATCGTACTTATTTAAAATAGTTCCAGCACGTTCCAGTGTGCCAAAATTGATGAAATTTAAGATTTGGGTTCCACTTTTAATGCAGATTACGAATATGCATTTACCTCAATACCCTTAAAGAACCCAATTAACATAATTTCCGTGAATCTGGGTTTAGACTAGACAAGTCAAATGATCAACTCAGTTGAATTCAATTGGCTTCAAAAGTTGAGCCTGGTTCAACTTTTTTTCAATTCAAGTGAGTTGATCAAGTCAGTTGAATGGGATGGTTCACACGTTCAATTCGAGTTCAAGTCAGTTGAATTCAACTGACCTGATCAATTGACTTGCCCTGTCTAAACCCAGCTTAATGAATCCAATGCAAACCAAACATATCAAATAGAATATTGCATCTGTAAATAAGCAATAGTACTGAATAACAACGCTCTTGATTGGCTTCTGACCGACTTGAAAATACTAGTTAAAAAATCATTTGAAAAGCCCCCTGTCGAGCTAGTCGAAAAAAGAATGTCCACACGTCAAACTCCGTCAAGCATTTAAACAGCGGAGGAACAAAAGAGACGACACATTATCTGGGCCTCATCTGTTTACATCTCATTACGCATTACCGTGACTATTGACAATTCGCCTCTTAGGTCACTCTGTAACTCTTCACTCTTATGGTAAAATCCCATTGGCAAACATCAGTCTGTGCGTGAAACTTGGTGAACATTTCCTTACCCTTTCACTCCTATGAAAATCCCATATTTTTTTATTTTTTTTATTTATCTGACAGTAGTTGTCTTAATGAATAAAACTTAGATAATGCACACAAAAAGCAACAGATAAACAGATAACAAAAATAATCACAATCTGCTCAATCGGTTTCGAAATTGGTTCGATGTTTCTCCACAGCTCTTTCACAGCGGAGAATGCCCGAATCACCGCAAACATTGGCTCATGGTATCCATATGCAGTCCGATCGAATCTTGGTTGTAGTAAGGATGATTCCCGCAACATCCTTTGAGGAACACGGAAGTTTAATTGTGAAAGCAGTTGAGGGCAGTCCGCATCGCCATTTAAAATTTGCGCTACAAATAAGGCTTGTTGCATTTTTTTTCTGTGTTCCAATGTGTCCAGGTCCAATAGCATGCATCGGTCTGCATAAGGTGGTAAATTCATTGGATTGGGCCACGGCAGGCTGCGCAAAACAAGACTCAAAAATCTTTTCTGAACACGTTCTATTCGGAGATTCCATACTAGCTCATATGGAGACCAGACCACAGATGCATTCTCAAGTATGGGCCGAACTAAAGAGCAATATAGTGTCTTCAAGCAGTGACGGTCTTTGAAATCTCGTGCAATCTTCGAAATAAATCCCAGTTGACGATTCGCCTTAGAGATGATCGAGGAATAGTGAAGAGTGAAGGTCAATTTTGGATCCAAAAGAACACCAAGATCAGTCATACGTCCTACTCTGCGAAGCGTTACATTGTCAATGCAGTAGTCGTAAAAGATTGAACTCTTAGAGCGGTGAAACGTCATCACTGCACACTTTAGAACACTGATGATGAGCTTATTGCGACGGCACCAATGCACAAACAAATCTAGCAGAGCTTGGAGACGATCAATCGAGGAAACATCGTTGAAGAATAACGTAAACAAAAGTGGACCCAGGTTACTTCCCTAAGGTACTCCAGAGGTGCTGGTAAACGTACACTGCAAAAAAAGTTGTTGAATATTACATCGAAACTGCTGCAACCAGGTCAATCCATCGGTTGTGTAATATCACATTGTACGATGTATATCGATTTTGCGAACAAAATTACATCCATTGATGTAGTATTGTATCTGCTTTTTGCTATTACATCATTATTTCATACATCAGCTTGAATTACGTTGATCGATATTACATTTTTTTTTGCTGTGTAGAAGACACACAAGATCCTAGTCGTACTCGAAGAGTTCGTCCAGTCAAGTAGGAATGTAATCACGACCTAAGTTGCTCAGACGCTCCTAGTCGAATGCGGCTTTCAGATCAGTATATATGACGTCGACTTGTGCCTTATCCACGTACTGTACTGGTGAAATCCAAAAGGTTAGTAGCTACCGATCTACCGGGAATAAATCCATGCTGGTCAGTTGAAATGTAGTTCTTCGAGCGATTCAGGACAAATTCGCTCAAGATGATCCCAAACAGTTTGGACGCTGCCGAAAGACTGATGATTCCTCGATAGTTCTTAATATCCCATCGAGTAGCACGTTGGACGGTATACTGGAATCTTTCCTTTTGCTGTTGACAAAGCTCCAAAATTTCGGGGTTACGCCGCAAATTTCACTGGACTCTGAGGACGTGTGATTTGTACAAGGCACTGTTAAGTTTAATGTAAGCGATACTGGCACGCTTGAAGTAACGCTTCGTGTCAGCTGTTCTGTGACGACGTACTTTTCTCTGGACTGCGTTACGCTCACGCTTCAGCACTCTAAGCTGAGGAGTAGTCCGAGCTGGTCGTCTTTTGAGAGGAACATTTGATTCCAACCAATGTTGAATCTTTGCGTGAATAAACGGCGGCTTGCCGGAGGAACGCAGAGATAAGGCAGTCCGCTAGAGTTTATGCACAGATTGTCAGATGCTTATGGGATTTTACTGGGAGTAAAGAGTTGCAGAGTCGCCGTCAACGTCAATGCTTACTTTTGTAAGGGCCAATGCTGCAAACGTAAACAATTACTTTTTGCGTGAGTTTCTCGGAAATGAAAACTCACTCACAAAAACCAATACCATGATTGTGTAGAGAAAGAGTCGACCTATTCGATAAAATTAGTGACTTACATGGATTGACTTTGACCTAAGAGACATTTACGAAAGATCGATATCATGAAAATTTTATTTTGACTTATCGATGTCCAACTATGCAAAACAAAAAAGAGGTCAGCTTTGAGTCATCTGTTTGCATGAAGTTCCACATGTGTTATATGGTTTTTGGGATCGTCTTTAAGTTGCAGAATCAACCGTTTCCAAAGCTGCTCATTCTAGTTTTTTTTTCTCAAAGACGCCAACCCCCGCCGTGGTAGTCAAGTAGTTTTTTTTTTTCCAGTACCTGTGGCAAAAATCGTAGATTCATGAAATTCTCAGCAATTTCGCACTTATCTGCAAAACGGGAACTATCAGCGGATCTACAAAAATTATTCACTATTGCCAGTACATAAATAATGATAGTATAAATGCCGTAGTTTTCGTATAGTCGATCAAAAACGAGCAATTTCCATACATTCTCAGATTTAAGGTGGGGTGCCTCCTACATGTGACTACCTGCAGAAGCGGCTTCCAACAGTTAATTATGGAGTTCCAGTTTCTCGCTCGAATGGTTTTTCGCAGTTTTGAGATGCAAAAATTCCTAAAAATGCTAGAACAAAAGAGGTTTCATACAGCCTAAATTGATCGTACTCGTTAAAAAAAATGTTTTAAATTATTAGTATTTGAATTGTTTTTCAATTGTTCCTCTGTTTAATTTTCAAGAATAAAAGTGGCAGAGAAAAATGACCATTCGGAGAAGTTTCAACACATTTTGAATATTTAATGTTGGAACCAAACCGAACCGAAAAGTGAAGGATCACCTGTGCTACCATAGGAAAGAGATGGTTGAGATTGTTGTGCTCAGTGGTGAGAGAAATAAGTCTCATAACTGAGCGTTATCAATCGATTAAGATAAAGATGATACATTTTATAACGAAACATGGAAACCTGAAACGTATTTTGTATTGATTTTAAAAACATCACAATGCTAAACTCCCTAAGTGTATGTTTTGTTTGTAAGAACCATGACTACATAAACGAATCGCTTTGCGGCTAAAATTGTAAAACATACCGCTGATAATGCTGATCTAAGATACCAAACATTGTTAATCGACTGTGCTGAACCCAAAGCACTTGGGCAGCCGATACCTATGCAAGCAAAGAACCACACGCACACCAACCGATTAGATTGGCTCGTCTATGGCAAACGTTTTAACATAGTTACCCCCACCCGTGCTCCTTTTTCTGAGCAGATGATCTGCCGTCGTTTCCGCCTGAATCTGTCTGATTCGGGCTTCGAATTCCCGGGCACTGTCCAAATCAGTGTCGGTGCTACTGAGACTAAAGCTACCGTTTTTAAAACGGCTGCAAAATGGCTGATCAATGGGATAGGTTCCATTGTAGACAATGTCCTTCAGATCGGGAACCCCCGAGTTTTTATTCAGACAAGCATAGAGAAAAGCCTTCGACGGCGGTAGATTGGTTAGTACGTCCTTTTGATGAGCTTCCGCTCGGGCAGCCTCCGAGGGCTTGACTTTTTTACGTTTCTTTCTCGTTTTTCGGACACTTCTAAAAATGGGAATTTGATTCAACAGTCTCGCCTGCGTACTGGTGGCGGTACTGGAAGCTGTAGTATTGTTATTAGTGGTAGCAGCAGCTGTAGCGGCTGTGCAAAATCTGTTATTGACACTGAATTTATTCTTGAGCAGTGGAGCAGACAGAGCGATATTATTAAGGTGGAATTGCACTTGCTTAAAGCACGTTTTCTGACTAAGGGAATGCTTGCGACTAGCGATTGTGGCTGCAGTGACGGAGGCGGCAGCAGCAGTGGCGGCGTTGGCAGATTTTGCGCGACATTCGTTAGCGGGACGGTATGTTTCCGATAGCGGAGAGCTGCTATCGCTGCTACTTACGTAGTTAAGACCAGCACCGCCCGTAGCCAAGCTGTCATAGTCTCCTCCGTGTGGGTGAGACGACGACGACGACAGAGGCGCAGCTGGGTGCGAATCGTCGTGATGTCCGGGCGGTACTGGTGATGAGGAGTAGGGTGTCTCGCGAGATTTCTCCTCGTACTCGGGTATGGTATCGACGGCGGTGGTTGTACCCGAACGAGCAGGGGATGCACCCTGCTGCTGTCTAGTGGACGCGGACGCGACTCGTTTCGAACCCGGCTGCATTCCAAGTATTGGAAAAGGGGAATATTATGTAAAGGGCAAGCTCGCTTATTGGAATCACTACTGTATCGTTTCTACTACTTAGGCAAGCTAAAAAAGGGGAACTCAAAAGTGCCAAACGCAGGGGTCAAAACGAAAAGGGATAACATTTATTCTAAGCTCACCTCGGCATTAGCTCCCCAATAGTCGTACGGACTAGGCTGTTGACTGTCCTGACCAGGTACTTGCGCCGGCATAAACATGCCTGGTTGCGCGGAAGCGCCATCGTACCCATAGGGATAAGAAGACTGAAGTTGTTGGTGCTGATCGTAGCCCTCCTGTGACACTTGTTGTTGTAGTTGTTGCTGCTGTTGCTGTTGCTGTTGCAAGTGGGATTCATCCTGCAGGGAAGATTGGTTGATCGAATCGTAGCCCTGGTCATAGCTTGGAGCTGCCATCTGGTGATCGTATTGATGGTGTGTTGGCGTTTGCTGTTGCTGCTGTTGTTTGTTCGGATCGTAAGCATCCGTGTACTGCAGGTTCAAACGACCAAGCTGTTGATTGATTTCAGTGAATTCTTTATTGATTTCTGAAGAATCCATGCTTACAGATGATTCCTGATTGGCAGGCTGTGACTGCTGTTGCGTCATTTGCTCACCGCCATATCCGGAGCAGCTATTGTAGTTAGTGTAATCTGGTGCCCCTTCGTAGGATGTTTCGGTGGCGTGGTTGGAAGCACTTGCAGCCTACAAGAAAATGGCTTGTCAATAACGACTTTATTTGGATGGAACACCTTGCATCAACTTACACTGTAGTTGCTTAGTATTGCACTTAATCGTTGTAACCAAGCTGGGTCCTCGATGTTTGCATAAATGTTGCCTTGACCGTTATTATCTACGGATTCGTCCAAGGCCTTCTCCAGTACTGGATCGTAATATTTAAGACGATCGCCAAGTGTGTAAACCTGTAAAAATATACAAGACAAATTAATTCAAGGTTTCAATAGCTTCAACCGATCGTATCTTACCTTTTTGATGAATTCTGATTCAAATCGATAAGGATCCTGCTGGATCTGCTCGGCGATTTGCTCCATGTAAAGAAGACACTTGAATTGCATGCCATAGTCCAACATTCGACTAGCTAGCAAATATTTATAGTACTGTAACGAAACGGGAAATCATTTTGTTTATTCTTGTTCCCAATGGTTCCTAACTTGGCCACCAACCTGCAACTCCGTAATTGAGTAACGTTCTTCGTTCAAAGAACGGGCATACTCGTAGATTTCGGTCATCATAATCGATTCATTTGTCGAGAACTCTTTGAAGTTACGTTGTAAGTGGGTAGAACCGAGCAAGATTAATCGCACTACCGTATTGGCATTGATGGTCGATCCGCAGTCCTGCTTTACGTCGGAAAATTTGCCGAAGCTCACATCCGACAGTAGATAGCAAAAATGAGCCGCGTATAGATCACCGCGATTATACAACGAATCGCCCAGTGTGGTTATGGACTTTTTGATAAGTTCCGGCTTGGCGGAGCTATTGGACATAAGCATGGCTAAATGTGGTCGCCAATCGCCCCACTTTTCATCAAGCACGCAAGTCACTGCTGATGGGGTTCGTCCACTGAGCAATTGATACAGCGTTTGCAGAGGATCGTTCAAAGTTAACTTGTTGGCAAACTTCATCATTACGTTAGCATGCTGCCGTGAGTCATACTTTGAAGCTAGGAACAATGCATGTCCCCAGAGGTTATTTTCCGTAGCCCACTCCAACGCATCGCTGATATTACCGTAGATAAGATAGTTCCTGAACTTGTCGGTAATTTCTAGCTCGCTTAGCTGTGTTTTCTTCTCTTCTAACAATGGTTGTTCATATTCATTCTCGGCAGCGTCCCGCTGTTCCTCGGTGTCTGCATCCATATGCCCATCACCGTCCAGTTCCCGGGGCTTGCGATCAACATTCGAAAGCGAAGAATTTCTACCGCTTACGTTTGCAGATCGAACGCTAGCTTGATGGGAATCGAATGGAAATTCCACTTTATTTTCCATCAACAGCTCGGAAATATCAGTTCCAACAAAGGTCTGCAAATAATTTACGTCGATTACTGACCAGAATCAAAATCATATGTATTGGCATTACTTACTCCATTCTGTCTTAACAGAAGAATGATGTAGTTCCACAGAAGGGTATAGGAACCACGATTTACATTTGGACCTAGCGAGTGCAAACTGTTGATCGAGTTGCCACGTGACTTCACGACGGCCTGCCCAATGCCACCGACCGGACCACTTCGCAACTGTTCCTCGCAGAACTCAATTACAGATTTTTTGTGAGTTTTATCCTTGACCAGCGGTCCCGGGTATGATTGGAACAGCTTGCGTGTTGGTTCGTGGGTACCTAAAATGATAATTTAATAATAACACACAAGTGCCGAAGAGTAAGTGCACAGCAACAACCCACCCAAGCTCCAAATTTTCACCAAATCGGTTGTTCCATTGATGGTCAGGCGGTTCTTGGCAGTCACCAACAACCCACAAGACACACTCACAATCGGATGAATCTCCGGGAACTTGCGCGGAGTCAGTCGCTCCGGTTCCATCATGGCTATGGCGCTCGGTTCCTGCCGCAGCGAGCCATCGGTATTGTCCAACCTAGGATTGGAAAGAGTATCGATCATTAGAAGCTGTCGTCAGCTACGCCATATCCCATTAGAATCATTACTGATATTAGTTATTAGGAAACCGACTGCAAAGCCTTCTCAAGTAATCCGGAATAAGTGTGGTTAGTATCTCAGCAACTACTATCTACGAAAATTACAGCCATGCAAAAGTGGATTTTTCTGTTAGAAGGGTGCAGCAAATAATAAGTAAAAATTCGATCAAGAGCAAATCAAGAGAGCAAGCGTAATAATTGGTGTACGTGGTTTGAAGATAGAATAAAGCAGGGTGAAAATGAAGATACGGAATGATTAACTGAAATAAAATAAAGACTGTAAAAGCACCTTGGCTGGTAATATCCACTATCAGTGTGGTACGACCTGTCCATAACCAGAGGAGTGGCCCGTTGCTGCTGAAGTTGCTGTTGTTGTTGTTGCTGCTGCTGCTGTTGGAATGAGGCCATCGCTTGCTGATGGTGGTACATTGGCAGTGACGTCGGTTGACCGGAAACTTCACTGAGGAAGCTCTGGTCGAGCATGGCGGATGGTTGCGATTGATTATTGAAATGACGATGATAGTCTTCCGGATTATACATGCCGGGCTGATGGAGGAACGGTGTCGTGCGATTAAACCTAAACAGAGAAGAACAGGGCCGTGTTGAGAGGCAGGGAAGATTTTCGTTTTCTGTTAGGGGGCTGGGGCGGCGGACAAAGACGCTTCGCATTCGGGTTACACTGTTTACATGGTTGAGAATCTTAACTTGAGGTCACCGATTGGCGAGGGTGCAATAATCGTAGACACATGTTGCACAATGAACGTTATGTACAGCTGAAAATATGTCCACATATGTAAAGTTGATTCAAGCTGTGATGGCCATTTTAAGGATTCGGGAGATTCAGAAGTCAGTTGTTCTTTACTCCATAATGTAGGTACACTCAGAAAAGCGAATGTATGTGATCTATGAGTTTTTTATGGAACATAAGAAAGCTCTTCGTAAGCTGTTGTGATAAAACCACAATCTTATGAAAATGTTGATTGTTGTAATAAAATGAAGTTGTAATACTGGCTGATGACTCCGATTGACGCATTATGGTAAGGTACACCGGTGCAAGTTGAAACGGACGGTTGATTATTGGCGTAAACTACTAGATTGAAAATAATCAAAGCGATTATTCAGTGCGACTAAGAAATACACCTTCCGTTCCAACTAGCCTCGGTGTATTTAATAAGTTGGTGTAGAGAGAGAGACGACATCTCACCCATTTGACAGGCTATCTGCTCGATTGGAATTTCGTTTTCCATGCCGTTGAAAGATAATCGATTGTTGAAATTTTACCGTGTCGTCACTCTCTCTACAGGCTTTCTAGTAAATACCATGGGACTTGTCTTATGAACATCATACGTGTATTTTTCGCAGTGCATAGCACTGTTTCCAACCGTAAGACTAAACATGACAAACAAACCGGCCTACATAATCAAATTAACACTATTATTCAGTATTTACATATACATACATAAATTCCACGACATGAAGAAGCGTAAAAAGCCAGGAAGAAGAAACAGTTAGTCGCATAGTTGGTGTAGACCCAATTAGTAACCGCATATCAGTCATTTTTTGCGTAGTACCAAAATTGGGGATTTTGAATCGAAATTGATGCTGACTGACATGATTGCAAACAATAGAATAACACCACGGTTAGGTTTCGCAACAGATGTCGTTAGTAATAAAACTTACGGCACAGACAAACAGACATGACATAACACTCGCTAGTTGTTCATCGAGCAAGCATTTAACGGACAATTTAAAAGTATCGGAATTGGTAGTACCGACACCTGTGGCGCGCACAGTCAATTCTCTTGCGTTTGACGTTTACACACTATCTCCATCTGTTCAGCATAGTGCCCACCACAGTGTACTCAACATATGGCGGTAATGTTTTAGTGACGATGTTTTACAGTGAGAAATATTTAATGTGTTATGTCTGTTTGTCTGTGGTTACGGTGTTGATTTTCAAATATGTTTTCTGTTTTCAATTCTAAAATCGATATTTTTGGAAAAAAAATAAATCAAATCTCCATAGGGTATATGTCCCTAACCTCTGTCTAATATGCATGCTTCATTTACATTTTATGCCGTATCTTATAGAATAATTGAGCTGCAGTCGATATTTCAGTGGCAACTTGTAAGCTTAGATATTCTTATTACATATTTGGGTATTGATTAGGCACGACTGAAAATTGTTTAATATTACCATTATAACATGATGACTTAACAGGTAGCTGGATGTAATGAAGGTCTACTGTACTTAAATTGGGTCTATAAATTGATGCAACTTCGTCCTATCGACGATGATCCTCGATCTACACAGGATCGGCATGTGAAATCGCGCTTCTTTTTCACTCCTTATCATTCATAAGTAACCACATTGTTGACGTCACTTTCACTGTTGACGTCACCACACATATAACGAACTATCAAATCAAGTAATAGCAAGCCGAACAATGCATTAGGTCCAAAGAAACATTGATAGATTCTCTCCGTCGACTTTATCTTTGTATCTCCACGGCCATGTAAAGACATTCCCAGGTATTTTCAGCACACCGATCGATAAAAGAAGCTATTATCTAGCATCTAATACGGTAAACACGGCAAGAAACGGATTTGTAGCCAAGTTATTAATGAAAGAGAAACTCGACGAGAAGAATCGATCAATATTACTTAGGACCTAATCAGTGTTGGTAAAATCAGAAATCAATTGATATTTTTTCCACTATCATGCACTCGCAATATCACGCATGATATTGGAACAAAATATCATGCTTGATATTGATTTTACAAGCTCCTTTTATATTGCGAGACTATTCACAACGTGCAAAAATCAAGCTGAGAGTTGACTTGACACAAAAATTATTCCGTTGCACATCGTTTTCTTAGAAAGAGAAAGTATAGTATGCTATCTCTTTTTACTCTTCACCGATGGCAGACACGAAGTGACTGCTGCCAGCCGTTATGGAAGTTTCGGTTGCATTCGGGTGTAAAGCAAAAATCATGAAACTCAATCTCACCACAGTTTGTTGAGATTTGCAGCTGCTGAGTTTTGTTAGCTTGATATTCCAAGCTGCGATATCACAGCTTGCAAAATCAACCACAGTTGTTTGCTTGTCGATTTTTGTCTACGAAAATCAAGCGTGATCTTGGGCGTTGATGATATTTGATTTTTTGATATTTTCTAAACACTGGACCTAATACATTGTTTGGCTTGATAGTTTTTCGAAAGGCCTACACTCAAAATAATCCTCACATCAATACTTCGTGAAAACACACATAGATTTTTTCCATCGCATTCTTCATGTAAGACTTACGTGATTCTCATATGGAGGCACACAATTCAGTGAGCTTCAACTTCACTGGATTAGCACGTAGAAGTTTCGTGATTTTTCCGATAAAATGCATGGAGATTCCAATTGATTATTTAATTCCGATTCGATTTAAATAAAATTCGACAGCGACAAAGATCGGGAACAGGAACACTAACAAAAATGCAACGGCTTATAACTTCCACTTGATTTAAAGTCTATACATGATGGTCATTGTCATCATACTAAAAACAGGAACAAACTAAATTAACCTCCATGTAAAATTTTAATTAATTACACTTACAACTCGAAATTGTCTCAGTAAAGACCAAATCAATCTGGATTTCAATGGCATGTAAATATGCACAATGAACTAGCGCCATATTGTAAAGCAATATGAGTGAATCACTCATTAATTTTTTCAGATGTGAAAATCACTTAGGGTTTACGTGAAACGAACATAGAATCTGTGTATGTGTAATTCACGTAAACTTCACTAAAAAATCTGACGATTTTGAAAGGAGTTTCGGTTCACATGTAAGTGGTATCATGTAGAGTTTAATTGGGCCTCGTAAAATTGACAGCTAAGGAAAAAGAGATACCCTACGTGATTTTTCACGTAACAACAACGTGTCGATTATTTTGAGTGTACACGGTAAATGAGTAAGACTCATATTTGAATCCCGATCACTCAAATTTGCAAAAACGTCATAGAGTGAGTAAATGTTTACTCAAATATGATTAAATGTCACTCGTATATGAGTAAATGTCACTCAAATATGTGTGAAATTTAATCATATTTGATCTACGAGTGACCTACGCTTTTGCGTATTTGAGTAAACGGTACTCACATATGAGTCGCTTTCATTTGCCGTGAAGTTTGTTTTGACGGCAGGATTTACTGCACGCTTTTTCTATAGAACTCAAATTTGACTAGGATCTACCCATATCCGTCAAAAGTAGGGCTATCCTAAATTGAGCAAACAAAGTTGGAACTGACAAGTTGACAAAAATGAACAACATCGTTCGGATTCATGTCGATTTTTTCCATTCGTCATCTCGATCCTACTCAAATTTGGGTTGTTTAGAAATAACGTGTGTACCGTGTGTACCCTCCTTCACTCAAAGATTATCATTTTTCCTACGATATTTTTTCAGTGGAGTGAAAGGATAAGAAACGATCCGGTATGTTTCACGAAATTAGCCATTTACTTATGGGGTTTTCCTATAGGAGTGAACAGTTGCAGAGTCGTCGTCAACGCGAATGGTTTCAAAGTTCGTAGGCCATAATTAGGAACAAGCATCAAAATTACGTCCCAAATGTTCGGTCCATAGTTATAAAGCGCTAAATGCGTTAAATCTTCTAAATGTGCAGTAAGAGTGGAAAGTATGACATTGATTTATTAGGCTAGCATGTTACAAAAAGGTAAGTCCTTTCAATTCATGAAATTATCAGGTTTTTTGATGACCACCGCTGTGTAGATTTTCGTTAGTAATACGGCAAGATCGTGGCGCCTAGAAATTGAAAAATATGAAAATTTCACTTAACGGGAGGTTCACTTAGATTTTGTCGAAAAAATCGATTTTTTTTTACAAAAAATGAAAACTGCACATGTGTAGAATATATGTGTCAAAGGATATTCCGATACAATGCGTATTTTTTGAGTTAGAGCGTCTCGAACGGACCAATGTCACGCCAAAAACTTTAAACGCGTTTTTCTCGGAAACCACGTTTTAGAACTCTTGTCAATGATAAGTCTTGTTCTATTCATTCGATTCGTTTCATTCAAACATAGTTTTAAAGTGAATACTTTTCTTTACGGCTTATACCTATTATCGGCATGATTTTTTTTTATAATTTTTAAACGAGATCAAAGTAAAAAAAAAGAGAAAAAATAAACTTTTTTTTAATGTTTTTGGTGTGTTAGGTTTTTTTTTCGTTAAAAATTTGTTTAGGTTAGGTATATTTTTTTTTCCTTTGGTTTGTTTTTTCCGTCGATCTTCTTTTCCGTGCTGAGCACCAATGCTACCGGCGTGCCAGGAAGGCAGCTCCCACACCTGGACCCTACCTATCGACCCATCAACTCATGAACCGGGGACCAACGGCTTTACTTCCCATCCGAAGGAAGGCGTGATTAGAGATGTTATGCCTCAGAACATCCCGGCGGCACCGACTGGGATTGAACCCAGGCCTGCTGGGGTGAGAGGTAATCACGCTTACCACTACACCACCGGCGCCGTTAGGTTAGGTATATGCCGTAGGAAATTTTATGTA